TGCTACACCCAGCCTGGGGCGGATAGCCTGAATGCAACATAAGGGAGACAGACTTGCTCTCTGTTGCCATTTCCTGGCACTGCTCCTCCCTTTTGCCTTTGCTCTTTGCTGTTTTCCACCACTATGAAACAGCTGCCAGGACTAGGGAGATAGCTAAGTAGAATAAGCGCTTGCCTGGCAAGTGCAAGGGCCTGAGTTCAACCCCTGGTTCCAAAAAAAAAAAAGAAAACAGCTGCCCTCCTCCCTGTGCCACTCTGCCTTGGAGCCAGTTGCATATGGACTGAAACCTCCACTAACTGTGACTAGATGAACCTTTCCTTCCTTACTGTTTGGTGTTGGGTGTTTTGTCCCAGCAATGAGAGAAGAGTAACTGAGACAGTGAGGAAAAGAAAATGACAGAGCAATGTTTCATAACAAAATTCAGCCTCTCCAACATCCAGAACCCAGACATGAAAAATAACAATTTAGTGAAGGAAAAAAGATGTGCAGATCACTGGGGATCAGGAAGCAATTGACAGGAAAAATTAGAAGCTACAGAGAAGTTGGAAAGATGGTCCACAAAACAGAGAAAAGGAGGAAATTTGGACTGTCTTCTTGGCTCTTGAAGCTCGCAGGGAGGGAAACCTGGCTCCCCAGGAGCAAAGAAAGTGCTCAGGGCTTGGAGATCCAGAGAGAAATGAAGCAACAATTCCATGTCAAAAGTGCAAAAAACAGTACAAGGTTCTGCTGCCAAAGAACTCCTTCCACAAGGAAGACAAGAGCCAGAGAGGGACTCAAACATGGATAGCCATCAGATCACCAGAGAATGTTTGCTCAGGTGCCATTTTATTTTATTATTTTTTAATGTATTTGGTACATAGTCTCATGACACAGCTTGAACTCATAGTGATCCTCTTGTTTTCAGCCTCCCCAGCACTGGGATTATAGGCATGTGCCACCACACCCAGTTTTGGTGGCTGGCTCAGCATGCTGGGGGTGGGGCTGGCATGGCTTGGGCTACAGGGAATCAAACTTTTGTCCCTGCCTTGCCTAAGCAGATGCTTAGTTCTTAGTCCACTGAGCTATCTCAACTGCCCTAAAAACATCATATATTATCCCAGGATGCAGAGATGATTCAACATATTCAAATCAACAAATGTAACACATTGCATGAACATAAATAAGCAAGGACAAAAATCACATAATCATTTCAATTGATACAGAAAAGCCTTTGACAAAATCCAACATCCATTCATGATTTTTAAAATTACTGAAAAAAAAATAGGTATAGAAAGACTTCACTTAAAGACTTTAAAGTCATTTAAGACAAACCAACAGTCAACATTATATTAAATGGGGAGAACCTGAAAGATTTTCTGTTAAAATCAGCAACACTAGGCAGAGTGCAGTGGCCAGGGCTTGATCCCCAGTATTCTGTGCCAGCCCCACCCCTGGGGCGCACTGAAATGGCGATTGAGACTGGGCATGGGGTCCCGCACCTGCAGCCCCAGCACTTGGGAGGCTGAAAACTGGAGAACCCATAGAGTCCAATCTATACAGTGAGATCCTGTAGACCCTGGACTAAAAATACAAAATAAATAAATAAATATAAAATCAGCAACAGGCAATTCTGCAAGAGAAACAAGAGAGTTATATACAGGCACGGAAGGAGTGAAATCATCATCATTTGTGGATAGCATGATCCTAACCATAAAAGACCCAAAAAATTCCACCAAAAGGCTTCTAGAATAAAAACCAAATTCACTAGCATAGCAGGATACAAAGTCAACTCATCAAAATAAAAAATGTCCCCATGCACCAGTAATAAACTTACTGAGAAATAAATTAGGGAAACAATACCTTTCACAATAGGATCAAGAAAAGTTAAATATCTAGGAACTAACCTAACTGAGGAAGTCAAAGACGTCTACAATGAAAACTACAGTGCTCTGGAAAAGGAGATCAAAGAGGACATCGGAAAATAGAAGATGTCCCATTTCCTGATAGGCTGAACCAACAGAGTCAAATGGCTATAGATTCACAATAGATATACAGATGTAGTGCAATTCCAATCAAAATACCAATAGCATTCCTCACAGAACTAGAAAAAACAGTCCTAAAACTCATGCTATAAGAAGAGTCCTAGAATAGCAAAAATAATCCTGGGCATCAAGAGCAAGGCAGGAGGCGTCACAATTCTCGACTTCAATTTATACAGTACTACAAAGCCACAGTGATAAAAACAGCATGATACTGGAAGAAAAGACATGTAGATCAACGGAACTGAGTAGAAGGTACAGAAACAACACCAAGCACATTCATCTACCTGCTCTTCAACAAAGTATCTACAACTCACACCAGAGGAAGGACTTGAAGCGGTGCTTGGAAAACTGTCTATCCACATACAGAAGATTAAAGCTGGGTGTGGTGGCATAAGCCTGTAATCCCAGCACTTGGAGGGGCTGAGGGAAGAGGATTCTTGTGAGTACAAGACCAGCCTGGGCTACTAAGGGAGCTCAAGGCCAGCCTGAACAGCATAGCGAGACCCTGTCTCAAAACACACACACACACACACACACACACACACACACACACACACACACACACACATTCAGAACGTTGAATCTAGACCCATATCTTTCACAGTGCCCTAAACTAAAATCAAAATGGATCAAAGATCTAAATGTTAAAACAGAAACATTTAATATGCTGGGAGATAAAGCAGGTTAACCTCTTGGTGCCACAGACATAGGTAGGGACTTCCTCAACTTCAGTTGCCCAAGAGATAACACCAAGGATCAACACGTGAGATCCCGGCAAGTTGAAAGACTTCTGTACAGCAGAGGCAACAACCAACAAAGTGAAGAGGCAATTCACAGACGGAGAAAATATTCTTGCCAGCTCTTTCTTGGAAAGAGCACTGATACCTAGAATGTATAAGGAGCTCAGCAGATGACACCGCTCTCCACCCCCCGTAAAAGACACAGTCCAAAAAATGAGTAGAGACTTCTCAGAAGAAGTATAAATGGCTAATGAATGTGGAAAAAAATGTTCAACATCTTTGGATATTACAGAAACGCAAATTAAAACAACAGATTCTATCTTACTCCAGAAAGAAACGCTGTCATGGAGAAATCAGGTAACAACAAATGCTACCAAGGGAGCAGGAAGAAGAAAGGAACCCTCCTACATTGTTGGTGGGAATGTAGACATAATACAACTATTATGGAAATCAGTATGGAGATTCCCCAAATAATTGAAATTCCATTTGTCCTAGCTGTTCTCCTAAGTATCTTCCTAGAAGAATTAAAGACTCCTATTACACTAATACGTGCATACCCATGTTTACAGTACCACAGTTCACAATAGCTGAACTCTTGGAATGGTGAATATGGCCATCAACAGATGAATGGATAAAGATATGGTATAGGCCATAGGGTACCATTGTGCCAAAAAGAAGGAGAAAGGAAAATAGACGTCTCTAGAGACCAAAGTGTTAAGTAAATAAATGACACAAAACTTAAATGTTGAATGGTGTCATATATATATATATATATATATATATATATATATATATATATATCAGTTGATGTAAAGACTGGTAGTGAGATGGATCTTTTGCACATGGGAAGGTGACCAAGAGATGGAGGGAAGGGGGAAGGAGAGGAGAAAGGAGATAAAAGAGTTAAGATGTGTTGGTACATGAACCAGTCAGTACTAGCTCTCTACATTATGTACCACAAACAAAAGGAAAAGAAACACAACTTTGCTAAGGGTCCTGTGAGTCCTCTGCTTCCCCAGACCTGACTCTGGGCATCCTTTGGCCTTACTGGATCCAGTTTAAGCAAAAATTCTGCTTATTCATTTTAGCAACAATCCACTGCCCTTTGTTTTTGATCACCAGGGTACAGTATTCTGGTGCTCATGTCTGACTTTGGCAATAATCGTTCAAGTCACTTTAAACAAAAAACCTTCAACCTTCATGTTTGCCTCTTAGAAATTTTCCTTCTCTCCCCCACCCTCACACTGGGTTTTCAGTCATCATTTGTTGGAATAGGAGTTAGGTTCAATCTCTCTCCCACAGCAAAACCCAGTTGCAGTGTTTCCTATACCTAGTGCCGAGACTGCCTTTGAATAAAGCCTGCCTCATCTTCTTCAACAAATGTCTTTTATAATTTTTAATGCTTCTCAGCACTTTTCTAATATTTTAAAATTAATTCATCATATCTATAGTATTTTAATGTACACATAATAACTACATATTTATGGGTACGGTGGCATTTTAATATACGGATACATTGTGTAACACTGAGATCAGGGTAAAGGGCCTGTCACCTCAGATATTTATCATTTCTTTGTGTCGGATATATTCAAAATCCTACTAGCTATTTTGAAATACTCAAAGCCCTACTACGCTGTAGAACCCTAGGAATTATGCCTACCTAACTGTGCACCAGGCATGTTAACTATCCTGTCTCCATCGTTCCTTGCCCTCCAGTGTCCTACGTGTGAGCTTAAGTTTCTCACTGCCCGCCAAGTACCCTCATTACAGAGCCTTGACCTGTGCCCCATTCTATTCCACTCCCTACGCGTGTGTTGAATGCATGGAAGCACTTGTCAAGGCTGACTTTTATTTCGTGTTATTTATTTTAATATTTTAATTTTCCCTAGTGGACATAAGCCCTGAAGGCTGAGGGCCTGCTTATGTGCCTTTTGTTTAATGGTGTATACTCCAGGCCCTGAACAAAGGCTATGATGGTGATGATAGAGGATGTAAGGGTTAAGGTTAATTAAACTAAGCGAACTAAGGGAGATCTCAGACAAAAATGACAATAACATGAAAGTGGAAGAAAGGAGGAGAAACAAAAATTGCTAGGCGGGGGAAAGATTTCGGGCCAATAGAATTCGGGGAAGTGTGGTTGAACCAAGATGGCCTCCGGCACTTGCTGCCACACTTAATATGGCGACCAGGGACAGTGCTTGTCGGAAATCTCGCGAGAGGTGTATGACGGCACTGTCCGGGAGTTGAGCTGGGGGTGTGGAGCAGCCAAGATGGAGCCGGCAGCCGGTGGTTTGGGCCCGCTGATTGTGAACAACAAGCAGCCCCAGCCGCCGCCACCTCCTCCGCCCGCAGCAGCACAGCCGCCACCCGGGGCACCGCGGGCCGGCGGGGGCCTCCTGCCCGGGGGCAAAGCCCGAGAGTTCAACCGCAATCAGCGCAAAGACTCGGAGGTCAGGAGCTCGGGGGGCGAGGCTTGCACCGGCGGGCGGCGGGCGGCG